TTTTTTCAAAAACGATTCAAACCTGACTGAGTTTTTCAACTTATCCATGAAAAATTATTTCAGAATATTGCTGTTCACTACATGGAGAAACTGATGATGCTGAATTAAAAAAAAAAAAGAGATTAAGCAACCATTAAAAAATAAAATAACATTTTTGGCATTCAGCATCACTACTCTCACTACTCTAACTCAGTCAGTTTTGAATCGATTTTTAAAAAAATTTAAAAATGTTCAAAAAAATTTTGTTTGCTGGGCAAATACGCACAGATCTAAAATTTTATACATATCTTTCGAAAGCTCCAAGCTTCTTCTTTTTAAAACCGGTTTACGCGTACTTCTCTCTATCAACAGTCAATTTTATATGTTGCTACGTCAAACAGATACGGAATACGTACACCTCAGTGAGTGTGGGCACCTTAAGAAACTGAAACTTGGTTAATAATGAACCAAGTTACAGACTTACACTGAGGAAAATAACGAATAGTAAAAATGAATATGTTTTATTTGATTATCGATTAAAAGTGTTTGTATTTAAAGATTATACTTTAATACCAAAATTTAGCACGCACTTATAAAACGTGGTCAAAAGTAGTCTATGTTCAACGCAAATATTCAATGCAATTAATTATTGAAATTATGAATTTTGCACTTCACGGGTGCTTTTTCATAATTAAGAAATTGTATGTACACCAAGCATGCACGGCGGGGACAAATGTGTTAACACATACACACATTCAGCTATGGCCAACCACTTAGCGCACCTGTACCTCAAAGCCAAATCCGCTAAAAAATCGGGATGAAGATACTTTTATCAAAACAATTTTATGTAAACGTATTTTCGCGCTTATTACTTTATACAATCAATATTAAAAAGTTAAATATAATTCACTGATAAATCTCTTTAACTGAATAACTATTCATATGAAATACCTTGGTCACACATATAGCGTATTTAGAAGAAGTTTCGTGGCCATTAAAGAGGTAAAATTTCAAATCATAATTTATATTAAAAAACTACTTACTTCTTCAGTATTTTATATTTATTATATTCCAGATTTTTATTTACTCGCTCACCTCCTCGCCTCGACTTGCACAAGCTTCCCCATATTCCGCTTGGGAAGGGGTAACACGCTTCAGGACAACGTGCAAATTCAAAAGGAAGTTTGCGTTCATATTTTAAAGATAACGTCCATCAATAAAATTAAAGTCAAAACTCAGCACTGGTTATTCCGGGGGCGCGGAGGTGAGGGAGTAAATACAAATCTGGAATAAAATACAAAACACTGAAGAAGTAAGTACTTTTTTAACATAAATTATGATTTGAAATTTTACCTCTTTAATGGTAGTCAGTTAAGAGATTTATCAGTGAATTATATTCACTGGCCGCTGTGGTGTAGTGGTAAGCAGTGCGCCCTTCCATTCCACAATGCCTGGGTTCAAACCCTGGTCAAAGCAACATCGCAAAAATATAGAAAAAAGGTTTTTTCTTAACAGCGGTCGTCCCTAGGCAGGCAACGGCAAACCCCCGAGTGTATTTCTGCCATAAAAATACAATCGCCGTTCGGAGTCGGCGTAAAACTGTAGGTCCCTCCGCTTTGTGTGACAACATCAAGGCGCACGCCACAAATCGGAGGAGAAGCTCGGCCAAACACTAACATATGTGTAAGCGCCAATCTATTATTATGTTATTATTATTATTATATTCAACTTTTTTATAATGGTTGTACATGGTTGAGAGGGGGACATTTTGCGTACTGGCATATTGTTGCCGCCACAAAGCAGTTGCACTGCCAAGTGCGGTTCCTATTTTGTCGTTTATACCAACTATATGTGTAAATATCAGTTAATAGTTATTCATAACAAAACTAACGGTTTAAATTACTAAAGTACTTGCTAAAATCGAGAAAATCAGGACATTTTTAGCGCAACTCGCACACTTTTTATAAAAGGTCTGGACCGGTCAGACCTAAAGCATGGGGTTTTCATACGTTTATTTGTAGGTTCTGAGGAATGAAAAGGTAGATATTAAACAGATGGGCCAGTTACCAAATTGCGAGAAAAAGGCTGCTCTCAACTGTAACTGAATTTCGCGTATTTTATAAAAAGAGGAAATTTTCTTATGGTAGTCATTGAGCGGTACTTTTTTTACATTTGTGGGTATAAAATATACTTCTTTCTTTCTTCAGAAGAAGCATCCAATTGGTCAAGGACAATGTGCTACTTATCATTTCTGAAAAATCGGCTCACAGTGGGGTAATCGAGCCTGAAACTGGAGATCAATTCATACGTACATTTAATTTAAAATATTTTGATGTATTTGTATATCTAGCACCAAGTAAAGTAAAAAAAGACAAATCCGAAAATAGTTTAGAGGCAACATTTTTTTACAACTTTACTTGTAGTTCTTATAAATAATTTGTATTATGACTAATAATTTGTTAAAATCATAATCATCATTAATTACAATCTTAATATCATCACGATCATTATCATAATAATCTTTATCATCATCTTCATAACTATTGTCATCGTCACTTTACGGAAATACTACTTTCAAAAGATTTCTTCAAAGAGCAGATTAATTCACCCACGTTTCCAAGTGATGTAATAACAACTGTTTTGTTGATTTTTCATGAAAAGGTAAACATCATTGTCCTTTATAGGTAATTTTTTATATATTAATGTATTCGAATTGTAAAAATTGTCTCTATGTTTTTTAAGCTTAGAACGTAGTTTAAAAAAATATAACCTTTAATAAAAACAGTCATCATCTTACGTCATTGTCATCGCTATCAACATCTTCATCATCACTATAGTTCTCCATAATTATCAAATGTTTTGCTTCTTTCGGCAAATCCTTCAATTTTTTTGGGGTAGTTTTCTAATATTTGATATAACACAGTCGGAACTGATCAAAAGTCTATTGAATATATCTTCCTTCATCTTTTTTCTGCTGCACTTGCGAGACAAATAGAAAACATTTGTAGGTCTTAAGGTCTTTGTTTCGTGTTACCAGAGCTTCTTCTGACAGTTGACCATAGGTAACAAAGCGTGGGATATTATCTGTGACCCATGGATGAAATTTTTGTGGAGTGTTGGGGCATTTTGTCATTATCCGTCTAGCCGTAACTGTGATAGTTAAAAATATCATCACTATCATTATTTCTATTCCCTGCACATGTTATTCGTACATAGAAATAACAATACTGCATATAAACAATAACAAGGTTTACAATTAACACTAAAAATATGCAATATCAGTCTTCACTGTTTCACATACACCCTATAAATCATTGAACAAAAAAATAACACCATTCCAAGGGCCAGTTTTTCAGTGCATGGCTGTGGTTTAAACTTAGTTCAAACGCTCGAGCTGGCTGGCTTAAACTAAGATTACAAAAAGGCACAAAAAAAGTATAGATATATTTTAGACTGCATCAGCAAAAAAAGTTGAAGTTTTTTCGGCGGGATTACAAAATTTATTATATTTGAAAATGTCCACCAAAATATTTCGGAAAAATATTAAGGTCCAGCTCACGTAGACCGATTTGAAAATGCCTCCAAAAATGGAGTTTTTATGAATGAAAATAGTTTCTCCAAGAACTTTTTGATAAAAATACCCTCAGATGACAAAACAGATTAAGCTTAAAAATCTACATACAAATATTTAAAAATCTTTTCTACGGAATCGTAATAATGAGATTTTTGGTGCTGTTTTTTTTACTTTTTCCAACGATTGATTTACGAAAAACTTTAATAACTGGGCCAAAACTATTGTTATTTAGACTTACAGGGTCTCAGTAGAAATGTGTTTTCCCACCCTTTTTATTTCTGTGCAAAAAATGATGTCGCAATTTTTATTTATTTTTTTCCACATGGACTACGTGGGTAACAAGGACCACCTAGTTATCTTGAATTTCAGTAGTGGAATCCTCCGTTATTGTCGTTTGATTTCTTCGTCTATTCCCACAAGCTTCTTCAGTTTGAATTTGTCGTTCAGTAAGTGCGGATATTCGGGCAATAGTGATTTTTAACCGACTTCCAAAAAAGGAGGAGGTTATCAGTTCGTCGGAATATTTTTTTTTTTTATGTATGTTACCGCATAACTTTGGACCACGTCAACCGCTTTCGATAATTCTTTTTGCATCGGAAAGGTAGTGTCTCAGAGGTGATCCCATACTAATCTGGTTGAGATCCGATCAGTGGATCATGAGATATATATATATATATATATTTTTTATATGGGAGTTGAAGTCGGTTTTTTTTTTGCTAAAAATTACTAGTTGTAAAATAGTGGTTGCTGATAATTATATGTGCGAAAGTGAATTTGACGTTTTTATTTAAAATTTATTGTGCAATTTTAAATTTTTGCTAATTTTAAATGGTTATAGTTTAATAAATATAGTTAATATTGGAATTAAACTCTGTTATATCGCCGGCACATATTGAGGGTAATATGGACTACCACGATAGAGGCTAATATGGACTAGTGGTCTTATTACCCGCAGAACAATTCTTGCTCTTTTAGCTCGATTATCTTTGAGTTCATAAAGATCTTATTAATGTAGAATATGGCTCCTGGTAAGGCCAAAAATTGGAATCCCGAGGACATGAAAAAGACGATCACAGCGGTGCGATCTAATACCTGCGGCTATCTAAAAGCAGCTAAGGTGTACAATGTTCCGAAGTCAACTTTAATAAGGCTAGCGTTAAAGAACGACACCGAAATAGAAAAGGTCGTAAACACAAAATTAGGGCGCAAACCAGTTTTTCCCGAAAATTTAGAAAAGATGTTGGTGGATTACGTTTTGACGATGGAATCGAAATTATTTGGTCTAAGCAGAATGGATGTTAAGTACTTAGCCTATCAACTAGCTGAAAAAAATAATATTATGCACCC